ACACACATTTTATTTTGTGTCTGCAAGTGTTTTGTTTTTCTTCCATGTATGTCTGTGCACCATGTACATGCCTGGTGCCCTTGGAGGCCAGAAGAGGATGTTGGCTCCCCTGGAACTGGAATTACGGACAGTTGTGAGCTGTGGTGTGGGTTCTGGGAATTAACAAGTGCTCTTAAGTGCTGAGCTATCTCCTGAAGGGCGCTTTGCAAATTATGTTTCTGTGTAGGAAACTCAGCAGTGGACATTTAATCAATTTTGTTGGCAAGCTTTTTGGCCTTTACTTTTTCTAACTGGGTAGTGTTAGCCACAGAGTTTGGACCCGGGACATTGTATCCCTGTTGCAAAAGATCTTATCATTTATCTGTCTTTATCATTGGTTCTGGTAGCCTCCACCAGCCTAGCCAGGGCCTTTGTCTTTGAGTTAATCTGTGTGAAGGCAGTGGTAGGGTATTCCTGTGGCCAGCTGCCCCAGCCTGGCCTGTCCCCTGGTGCAGCAAGGGGACACAAGGCAGGAAGACTAGCAGTTCCATTGGGTCTATAATGTACCATCACTATCAGCTGAGTATTCCTGCTCCACCAACACAGTGACAGTATTGACCCCACTCAAAGGACAGGTGGTCTCTTAGTGGGGATTTGGTTCCTCTTGCCAGCAGCTTTCCTTTTAGCACAGGCCAGCAGCCTTGGCTTCTCCTGCATGGTCTCTGGTCTGTACTTGTGGGGTGACTTACACAGCTGGGAGACTGTCTGCCGGTCCAGAGCCTGGGTGAACTGGTTAATAATCTCAGGTGGCACGTTCAGTGGCTTATAGGGGATAGACAGCCTTTTGCCTGGTGTAATGAGGCCTTTTGACCAAGCAGGTAGGTCTTTGGTTAGATGTCATGTTCGTAGCCAAAGTTCTTAGGCTTTTTATCTAACAGGATTCACTACCTTTTGGCCTGTTGCTGCTGTTGCTGCTGCTACTGCTGCTGCTAAGTTTTTTTTTCTCTAGTAGACCAGTCTGGAACTCACAGAGATTGGCCTTTGCTGATATTAAAGGTGTTTACTCCCATTCCTGGTTCTTACCTCTCTGCCCCAGAGCTTTCTTGCTCTCTAGACCAGTTAACAATTTTTTGGTTTTTGGCTTTTCGATGCAGGGTTTCTCTGTGTAGCTTTGGAGACTGGAAGTAGCTCTTGTAGACCAGGCTGGTCTTGAACTCACAGAGATCACCTGCCCCTGTCTCTCGAGTGCTGGGATTAAAGACGTGCACCACCATCGCCCAGCTTTTACTTGTATTTTTGCATAGCGTTTTGGGGGATCGTTTTGAGCTTTCAAATGAATCACTTATTTCTTATCAGTGCTGAGCAGTATTACTTGGTGTAAAACCCCAATTTTTCTATGTTAATTTACCTTTGGTCTGTAACTGGCTGCTAGTATCAAAACAGTTGTTGGTAATATCCCCCATAAGTCTGGAGACAAGTGTGCTTTTATCTTGGGTGTCATCCACAGTGTGGAAATTCATTCTCAGCTGCTTATATTTTCACCAGCACTCATATATGGTCAGTTTGTAAAATTTATTTTTCTAGGATAGAACCTTCCTAGCTCAGGGTAGGTTGGAACTTGCTGTTTTAGTCCAGGCTGGCCTCAAACTCTTGATTTTTCTGGCCCAGCTTTCCCTGTGCTGGTGTATGCCACCATTCCTGGTTTAGAAACCTTTTTTTGTTTTGTTTTTGGTTTTTTGAGACAGGGTTTCTCTGTGGCTTTTGTAGACCAGGCTGTTTTTTGTTTCCTTCCTTTCTTTCCTTCTTTCTTTCTTTCTTTCTTTCTTTCTTTCTTTCTTTCTTTTTTTTTTGAGACAAGGTTTCTCTGTGTAACCCTGGCTGTCCTGGAACTCCCTCTGTAGACCAGGCTGGTCTCAAACTTACAAAGATCTGCCTGCCTCTGCTGGGATTAAAAACATCCACCACCACCAAACTTTCTAAATTTTTTTTTTTAACTGTTCTTACCTTATTTTGAACTCAGTACAGTGGTTATATACGTATGCTGACTTCTCAGAGTGTGTGTATCTTTAACATGAACAGGAGGGAACTCAGAACACACATTTACACCTCAAGTTGAGTGTTTGAAGATGTTTCCTTTAACAGACATTTTGTGCCCGCAGTCTTTGGTAGTGACTGGTGTCTGCCCCATGAATTAGCTTTGGCATGTTTTTGGGAAGTCAGTTATGTCTTTGCTCAATGCAGATGAATGCTGTATAGAGGAACAAAAGAAGAGAGAAAATCACAGAATTCTTGAAGCACACAGAAGTGCACAGCAAGAAATTACAACTCTCAAGCAGGTGTGGAGGGTGAGGAAGCAGCACATTTGGAGCCTTTCATCCATGACATTTTCAACCATGTCATTTTGAGAGTATTGCAGTATTTTAAAGTCTGACACTTAGCACATTTTTTAAAAAGTAGTGGTGAGATTTAGCATTTTTCCTCCATCTTAAATGGAGCTGAGCAGGTTTGGTCATCATCTCATCTTAACAGTTCCAGGCTTAGGGTGAAGGAGGCTTTTACAGTTTAGGTAGATCACAGTAGCAGCTTTCTGAACTTTATCTCCACCGTGTTTGTGGTAAATAAAGTTATTTATATCTTTTTAAACAGAAACAGTGCATTCCTATTTCTGGTTTTTCATGCATGACCTTGAATCCCTTCTTTTTATGTTTTGCAGTACATTTTTATACCTGAAATTCCTGGTAGTGTGGGCACTTGTCCTCCTGGCAGACTTTGTCCTGGAGTTCCGATTTGAGTATCTGTGGCCATTCTGGCTTTTCATCAGAAGCGTCTATGATTCCTTCAGATACCAGGGACTGGTATGTTTCTATTGCATATTCTCCAACTGTGAGGGATTTAGTTATCTTTCTAATTAAGAGAATATCTTCAGTGACTTATACTGACCCGTTTTAAATGGATTTTAGTAGCAATATTGAAGTGCCTGTGTTGGGATAAGCTAATTGGCTCTGTGGGTTAAAACTTGACTGTTCTAAGCCCTCTGATTCGTGCTTCTGTTTCCTCCTTCTCTGCCACTTGAGAGGAGTGAGGAGACTGAGTGGAGGGTTACAAGAGGGAGGTAGCAGTGGAGGACGCAGTATTGCCTAGTCTTACTCTAGAGTGCTCTGGAGTTCCTGTCACTAGGTTGTAATTGAATTAAAGCAGTGATTCTCATTGATCTCAAGATTCCTTTTATATTCCCCCAAATTACTGAAAACTCCAAAGAGCGTCTGTTAATGTAGATTACAAAATAAAACAAGCTGAGTGGTGGCTCACACCTTTGATCCAAGCACTCCAGAGGCAGAAGTAGGAAGATCTCTGTGAATTCCAGGCTAGCCTGGTCTACAAACTGAGTTCCAGGACAGACAGGCTACAGAGACCCTGTTCTCAATGAAAATTAAACAGACAAAAAGCAACAGCCAAAAAACCAAAAGAGAAAATAAAATGAAGATTAAATTATATTTATTAACTCATTGAAAATAACTACTAACCCAAAAAATAAAATCTAAGAGTGGCTCTATTTTTTTAGAGCTCTCTGTTTGGAAGGATCTCAAAGCTCCTCCAGGAGTCTCCAGACTACAAGTTTTAAACTATCCAGTTAGAGCTTGGGGCATAGCCTGAGCTTATTCTTTTGACTTACGTGTTACCTCTGTTGTGTTCCATAGCTACACCTTACAATTAATTCTCCAATCCAGGCCTGACACTTTGGTCAGAGCAAATCCATGCTTCCAATAGACAGCTTCAAGCTTTTGTCTTAGTGGTAATGAATAGTGGTGTCCCGAGGAAGGCAGTATTATTAATATTACCACCAGCATATTTCTTGCCAATGTTTTTGGTTCATCTGCATTCCAGCAAGCCTCTCCTTTAAGAATGAAGCTCTTTAGGAATGGTTTATGAGGAAACAGGCTTTTCAGGGTTAAAGTTCTTCTTCATTCAGGTAACCTGTCTATAGCATCTCAATGTCTTCACTGTGGTCCAACCTCAGTTCTGGTCCAGTTCTTCCCCATGGCTTAAAAACCTTGAACAGTAGCGCTCTTGAAAGTTGAGTAAGCCACTGCTTTTTAGTATATGTGCTGTTCAAGCAAGCTAATAACCACTGCTTCTACATGGTCTATTCTAAGTGTTTAAAATTTCTTGCTAACTTGCTCTGTATTTAGTGATTTTTCAACAAAGATTTTTAATAATGTGCTTAAAAATGACAAGTTCTGAAATGTGATTTTAATTTGCCCTTTTTTTCTCTCTTTAGGCCTTCTCAGTATTTTTTGTTTGTGTAGCATTTACATCAAATATCATATGTCTCCTCTTCATTCCCATACAATGGCTTTTTTTCGCTGCTAGCACATATGTATGGGTCCAGTATGTATGGCACACAGGTAAGTCTTAATGACTTTTTTTTTTAAGATTTATTTATTATGTATATAGTATTCTGCCTGCATATATGCTTGCGCACCAGAAGAGGGCACCAGATCTCATTACAGATGGTTGTGAGCCATCATGTGGTTGCTGGGAATTGAACTCAGGACCTCTGGAAGAGCAGCTAGTGTTCTTAACTGCTGAGACATCTCTCTAGCCCTTTCTTGGTTAGAAATTTTAGATGCAAGTTTTTAAAATGTGGATTCTTTGGATGACTATTTAAGATTAACATTTTAAAGTTGCTTTTCTTCAAAACATGCTACTATGTTGTTTGGCTTGTGGTGGTGGTTTGTGGGTTTTTTGTTTGTTTGGTGGGTGTAGGGAGGAGTCACCATAATGTACATCGTTGTCTAGTTTGACAGTAAAACTTTTCCCATGCCTTCCTTACACTATTATCTGTAGACCAGACTGGCCTTAAACTCATAGATTGACCTGCCTAGTTCTCCCGAGTGCTGGGGTTAAAGGTGTGGGTCACCATATCCTCATATACCCTGGCTTTAATTTTTTTTTTAATAATGAGCTAAATTAGGGATTTGATTGTTTTAGTTGTATTTCCCTTAAAGTGTTGTGAAAGTTAAACATTGCATATTTTAGCCATCTGTATTTCTCTTTATGACTTAAGAATTTTCTTCATTTCACCCCTACCCGTCCTTTTTTTTGAGACAGGGTCTTACTGTAGTCTCGGTTGGCCTTGAACTAAAAAGGTTCAGCTTGCCTCTACCTTCCAAGTGCTGGTTAAAGGTATATGCACTACCACACTCAGCAGTTTTTCTTTTGTTGTGGGTAGGATCACTGGAGTTGAACCCATGGCTTTGTACATGCTAAGCAAGTGCTCTGCCACTGGGCCACGTCCACTGTGGTTTTGATTGGTTTTATTTGCTTGTTGAGTCAGGACTTCACTATTTGCCCAGGCTGGCCTCACAGTCCTATGCTCACACCTGTCTCAGTCTTCCAAGTGCTGGACTATAGGTAGACATACAGTTCCATATCCAACTTTGCTTGCCTTTTTTTAATTGCTTTTTTTTAATGTAAAGGAATTTTATTTATTTTTATTTTCTGTACATTGGTGTTTTGCCCTTGGTGTCAGGTACCCTAGAACTGGAGTTACAGACAGTTGTGAGCTGCCATGTGGGTGCTGGGAATTGAACCCTGGTTGTCTGCAAGAGCTTGTCAGTGCTCTTAACCACCAAGCCATCTCTCCAGCTCCCTTTAATTGCTTTTTTAGGAGCTCTTTGTATATTAAATCATGAAACTTTTTTTTAAAAATAAACTTTAAAAATCATTTATTTAGCTCTTATTTTATGTGCATGAAGGTATCAGATCCCCTGGAACTGGAGTTACAGACTGTGAGCTGCCATTGTGGGTGCTGGGAATTGATCCCAGGTCCTCTGGGAGAACAGCCAGTTCTCTTAACCGCTAAGTCATCTCTCCAGCCAAGATTATATAAATCTTTTGTTGGACATATATTCTGAACATTTCCTGACTGGTGTTTACCTTTTATTTTTGTCAATGAGTTTGTGGGCCTTTTGTCATAGAAAAGCTTTCAGTGTAGATCAGATTGCTTTTCAGTTTAGTTGAAAGTGGCTATCATTGACTGAGTCTCCCAGAAGACCCATCTGTTATGTCAGCTACTGTCTATTGATGGTTGTCTCTCTGCTGCTTTCCCACAGAAAGGGGAGTGTGTTTGCCTACAGTGTCCCTCTGGATACTCTTTGTTTATATTGAAGCAGCAATTAGATTCAAAGATCTGAAAAATTTTCATGTAGACCTTTGTCGTCCATTTGCTGCTCACTGGTGAGTATTACCTATATTCTCAGTCTCCATTTCAGTGTAGGATGGTAAGTTGGACTGAGCCCAGTGTCAGTGTAGCATGCTGGTAAGGTGTGAGCCTCTTCAGAGGTGGGGTCCCAGCTCTGTCCAACAGCTGTGTTGCTGAGCCTGTCTTTGTGTCTAAGCATCAGCTTTCTAACTTTTTTCCTGAGGTCATGGGTAGGAGGGACAGTGTATCGAGTGCTTAACTTAATGCCAAGCTTGTAAGTATCTGACAAATGATTTTGATGATGATTCCAAAGTTTTGATGAGCTGTGGCCATGTCTTAAAGCTTCCACAGTCTTTTACAGAAGTATCAAGACTGTTACCACTTTTAAAAGGAGCATTTCTTCTCATACTGAGGCATACTTCATTTAACTAAAATATTAGAAAATAAGCTTAATTTCTGTTTATATCAGTTGTGAAAAGTACAAACCCCCAATAAATAGGAATTATTATTTCCATTTTTTTAAGTTTTTACAAACAAGTGAATTAAACTTTAAATTTTTAGTGAAACCATATTTAAACTAATTAAAAACTATTAATGCTTTTAACACTTAGGAGCCTTAATATGGGTTTGACAGTGTTTGTAGCTTTGGGAAAGCATTAGGCCATCTGATTGGTTGGAGGAAATATTTTTACTTTCTGTCTTAAGAGTTGTAAATACTCTTGCTTTAACTTGGACACAACCCTGATGATTCCAGACACACATAAGTGATTTTGTAATTGCTATGTGACAGTGTTTATGAATTAGTTCTACAGAAGCAGCTTTTGCTTTTAGTCCTCAGACACAAGATTAATTATGTTATTGCCTAAAATTGACTCTATCTTACGATGTTAAAAATTAAGTAATGTCCTTTTGATTTTGTTTGTTTTTGTTTTTCAAGACAGTATTTCTTTGTGTAGCCCTGGCTGTCCTAGAACTCCCAGACTGACCTTGAACTCAGGATCACCTGCCTCTGACTCCCAGTGCTAGAATTAAAGGCATACACCACTATCACCTGTGCCCTTTAGATTTTTTTTTTTAATACTTAGCATGGCTATTTTTGGCTACCCATATAATTCTGTACCCTTTATTTAGTCCTGTTTCAAAATTTTCTTGTTTGAGAATTTCATGCATGAAAATAATGTGTTTTGGTCAAGTCTACCCGGCACTCCTTCTCCCAAACACTCCCTATTATACCCCCCACACACCCGCATACCTATCCCTTCCAACTTCATGTATTTGTTTTTTAAACCCACTGAGTCCACTCAGTGCTGCCAGTATGTGCATGGGTGTGGGGTGTCATCCACTGGAACATGGGTAACTTGAACAGCCCCTCAGCTAAGGGTGGGACTTCATGAGCCCTTCCCTGATCTGTGCTACAACTTTGGCTTGATATTGTGCAGCCATAGCCTCTGAGTTCTTGTGAGCAATGGCCCAATCATGTCCAGATACCTTGTCATTCCACCAGACCTGTAACCCTGTGGGTATGGGTTCATTATCATCAACTGGAAATGGTTTTCTAATTTTCAATCTCAGTAACTATGTGTTTGATGCATGTGTTGTTTGTTTTGAGTGTAAAAGTATTGGCTGGGCTGTCTTCTTTCTAGTATTGGGTACCCTGTGGTGACTTTGGGCTTTGGCTTCAAAAGTTACGTGAGCTACAAGATGCGGTTAAGAAAGCAAAAGGAAGTTCAAAAGGAGAACGAGTTTTACATGCAGCTTCTTCAACAGGCCCTCCCTCCAGAGCAGCAAATGTTGCAGAAGCAAGAAAAGGAGGCCGAGGAAGGTAGGTCTTTACTCTGAAGCTGTGGAGCTACTAGGCTAGTCAAATTTTCCATCAGTTAAAAATGGCTGAGAGTTTAGATTTTCCAGTTTTCTGATTCCTCCTTGGGGCCATTGTTTAGTCATGAAATACAGAATGTGAGTGCAGGATTTTGCTCTCTGAGGGCCATCTGCTTCTAAATGCGGTATTTGTGATATGTATGTATGTATGTATGTATGTATATGTTTATTTTGTGTGTATGGATTTTTTTTTTCTGCATGTTTATATGTATAGTAGTCTGGAGCCCTGGAATGTGGTACTGGACTGAACCTAGGTCTTAGAGCAACAAGTGCTCTTAACTATTGAGCCCCCTCTCTACCCCCTATTTTGTTATTTTTAATTTTTAAAAATTTAAATATTTTGTTACAAATTTTAAGTAATACTTAATAATATAATACATCTTGATTATGACAATATAATTGAAGCAAATCAAGAACCAAAGTATAAGCAATATGGTTGTGTGGACATGTAATGTTGCCTTCTGGCAGAACAAAGAGATGTGGTCCTGTTTTATTTTTTTGGTTTTTTGAGACAGAGTTTCTTAGTAGCTATGGAGTCAATCCTGGAACTCACTCTGTAGACCAGGCTGGCCTCAAACTCAGAGATCTGCCTGCCTCTGCCTCCCGTTTGCTGGGATTAAAGGCGTGCACTGCCATGCCCAGCAAATAGAACCATTTCTAATGGGGGTTTTCTGTGCTTGGGAGTTAGAAGTTTGAGGTCATGCTTTTTAAATAATTTATATCAAAATCCGTCTTTTCTGAAGCAGTAAAAATAGCTCTCAAGGAGATTAGCACACTGAAATGTACTGAGATGATACAAAAAGTTGTTTATAAGTATTCTGGTAAATGATACAGACTATACTATAATCACAAAAAGAATAGATGTCTATAATCAGAAGTCACATCTTTGCTTTCGTTTGAATTTTTTTCAGTAATATTATCAGGTGTTTGTTTAATCCAGGCATTTAAAAAAGATTTTGTGTGTGTGTGTAAATGTTTGTTTATGAGTTGGTGTACATGCCACAGCACACATACAGAAGTAAGGGGGCAACTTTGTGGAGTCATATGTCTCGTACCTATACTTGAACTTGGGTTGCTAGGCTTGTGTGGCAAAGACCTTTACTCTCTGAGCCATCTCTCAGGTCCAGTTCCCCTCTCTTTTTAAAATAGGGCTTTTGGGGAGGATAGCGATTGTTGAACTATTCTTTCTGTCAGATACACCAATATAGTAAATCCCTTTCCATAATATTCATTAAAAATAGGTCCTTTTTTAAAAAATGAATTGCTTTTGTTCTCTTAGCCGTATGACCAATTTGGTTGACTTGATATATGCAGACATATATATGTATATGTGTATATATATGTGTATATATGTGTATATATATAATATATGAATTATAAAATTTTAGTCTGATTTTAAAGCCAAAATTTCAATGATTTGAGGTTCATATTATGGTGGTTTTCTCAAATGTATCTGGACTTGGGAGTTAGTCTAATACATTGTACTTGGCTTCTAAGTTTCTACTGTGATTAATGCAGTAAATTTCTAGGCCTAGCTAATACAGTTACTAAATCAATGTAGTCTTTGCTTTTAAAAGCTAAATATTCCAGTATGGGTTTTTGTTTGTTTGTTGGTTTGTTTTTGATACTGTAGCAGCCAAAGGATTGCCGGACATGGATTCCTCGATCCTTATACATCACAATGGAGGCATCCCAGCCAACAAAAAACTTTCCACAACGCTGCCAGAGATAGAATATCGAGAAAAAGGGAAAGAAAAGGACAAGGATGCCAAAAAACATAACCTTGGAATAAATAACAACAATATTCTACAACCTGTAGACTCTAAAATACAAGAAATTGAGTATATGGAAAACCATATCAATAGTAAAAGATTAAACAATGATCTTGTGGGAAGTACAGAAAATCTCTTAAAAGAGGACTCATGCACTGCTTCTTCAAAAAATTACAAAAATGCCAGTGGAGTTGTGAACTCCTCACCTCGAAGTCACAGTGCTACAAATGGAAGCATTCCTTCCTCGTCTAGTAAAAACGAGAAGAAACAGAAGTGCACTAGCAAGAGCCCAAGTGCACATAAGGACTTAATGGAGAACTGTATTCCTAACAACCAGCTAAGCAAACCAGACGCGCTGGTAAGGTAAGTGTGTGCCCTCTTCACCACTTCTTGCCACACTCAAAAGTAATGCTGTCATGGGCCTGCTGGAGCTGCTCGTGATCAGACGTTTGTGACTGGTGGTGTTTGGGTGTTGGCTCTGCACAGGTTTGTTAGCCACCTGTGTCAGAATATTAAAACACTGACTTAACCTTTTTTGTTTTCTGAATAAGAGATGATAGTGATGGCTTCCCACATGTGACAGATTTATATGCAGCCCTCTTGGTGGCCTCTTGGATGCTGTTAGTCCTGTCCTTTTATGTTTACATATCTAAAGTTCTCTTTGGAAAAAAGAAAAGAGGAAAATTTATGTCCTGTTGGTGCAAATATTCTATGATCAAACTGACGTAGATGGGAAGGAGGAAGAAGTTGTTGTTACTACTCTGACCTTGTTTTATTTGTTAGTTTCTTTTTCTACAATTAGGATTTAATTTATCCATAGATAAGCCTGGGATATTCAGGTTGAAAAGTATAGTCTGGGTTGACAAAGTGACTCATTGGGTAAAGGTGCTTGCCACCAAGTCTGATGATTCTGCTACCCACAGGGTGGACAAAGAGAACTGATGCTGACAAGTTGTCCTCTGACCTCCACATGCACGGACAAAATACCTTTTAAAAAGAAAAAGGAGCCAGGTGGTGGTGAGGCATGCCTTTAATCCCAGCACTTGGGAGACAGAGACAGGTGGATCTCTGTGAATTCGAGGCCAGGCTGGTCTACAGAGTGAGTGCCAGGATAGGCTCCAAAGCTACACAGAGAAACCCTGTCTCAAAAAACAAAAACAAAAAAGACAAAAAGGAAATCTCCTGCTCAAAATTACATATGGGAACACAGTGTTAGATACAGATTTTAATTAGAAACATTCTTTTTCTCAAACTTAATGACACTGACTGGCTCAGACTTCATTTGACTAAATTGGTGAACAGGTGTGGCTTTTACTCCTGGTCTTTAGTCCTGAAGCTGAGAGCTGAACTGAAGGGGTTTTAGTTTTTTTGTTTTTGATGCAGGTAACCTACACAGTCCAATAAGGTTTTTGTTGTTGTTGTTTTGAGACAGTGTTTCTCTGTGTAGCCCTGGCTGTCCTGGAACTTGCTTTGTAGACCCAGCTGGCCTTGAACTCAGATCCCCTTACCTCAGACTCACTGATTAAAGGTGTGTGTTACCACTGCCTGTTCTTTGGTTTACTTAAAGGCCAAGGACAGTTTATTCTTCGAGGAAGAGTTTTCAGCATTGTAAATAATGTGAACCAGAATATTGGTTAGTTTTAATTTTGTGAGTAGCCAGATAAGGAAAATGGACATGGGATCCATCCACACTCTTCCTCTCACTCCTGTAGCAGGCCTCTGTGACACTTTGGAAGCATGCCATTGCTGATGCTGGGCAGACATCCACATTCTTCCCCTATCCTGCAGAGTAAACAGTCAGCATGCTTTCAGATGTCCATAGGAGAAAGGCCAGTTGTTGTACTACTTATTTCAGAAGGAGTTCCCCAGAATTCACTAACTGCAGCAGGTGAAACATTTGTCACATGTTATTTAAACTTTTTGTTTTGTTTTTTTTCAAGACAGGGTTTCTCTGTAACTTTGAAGCCTGTCCTGGAACTCACTCTGTAGACCAGACTGGCCTCAAACTCACAGAGATCCACCTGCCTCTGCCTCCCAAGTGCTGGGATGAAAAGTTTGCACCACCACGACCTGAATGATTTTCAACTTTTAATGCAATAGAAAATAAAGGGAGCCCGGTATGGTGGTTCACATCGTTTATCCCAGCACCCAGGAGGCAGAGGTGGCAGATCTCTGTGTGTTCAAGGCCAGCCTGGTCTATAAAATGTGTTTCAAGTGAGACCCTGTCTCAAAACAAGAGAGGAACCTAACTATCCAACAGTGGAAAAATTTATATAAATAGTAGGCCATTCCTTTAATAGACCTTTTTTCAATTATTTTGGGAAGAGGTTCCCTCTATGTAGCCCTGGCTGTTTTGGAACTCTATGTAGACCAGACTGGCCTCATACAAGAGATCTACCTGTCTGTGCCTCTCAAGTGTTGGGATTAAAGATGTGTACCACCACACCTGGCTCTTTTGTTTGTTTGTTTCGTTTGGTTTTTCGAGACAGGGTTTCTCTGCGGCTTTGGAGGCTGTCCTGGAACTTGCTCTGTAGACCAGGCTGGTCTCGAACTCAGAGATCCGCCTGCCTCTGCCGTCTGAGTGCTGGGATTAAAGGCATGTGCCACCCACGCTTGGCTCACCTGGCTCTTTGATAGATTTAATAATACTATGTTTTTTGTAGCTCTGGCTGTCACTGGCCTGGCTGTCACCTGGCTTTTTTTTTTTTTTTTTTTTTTTTTTTTTTTTTTTTTTGGATTTTTTGAGACAGGGTTTCTCTGTGTCTTTGGAGGCTGTCCTGGTCTTGTAGACCAGGCTGGTCTGGAACTCACAGAGATCCACCTGCCTCTGCCTCCTGAGTGCTGGGACTAAACGTTTGTACCATCACCATCCGGCAACAAATAAATTTTTAAAAATACTGCCTATAATCCAGTCTTATAGAGGCATTTTCTTTCTTTTTTTAATTATTTATTTTTATTTTATGTGCATTGGTGTTTTGCCTGCATGTATAATTGTTTGCAGGTGTCAGATCTTGGAGTTATAGACCGTTGTTAGCTGCCATTGTGGGTTCTGGGAATTGAACCTGGGTTCTCTGGAAGAGCAGTTGGTGATTTTAACCACTGAGCCATCTCTCTAGCCCCTGGAATCATTTTGTTAATTGAGGTTCCCTCCTTTCAGATGACTCCAGTTTGTGTCAAGTTGGCATAAAACTAGCCAGCACAGTCTCTAAGTCTAATAGTGCAGGCATGCAGGTTCAACTGTGAACATGCATCTTCTTCAGGCATACCATGGCTGTGCATAGTTCTGAGCTGGCTATAACCCCACAGGGATGCTTTCTACCCCCTTTCAAATATTTGAGCAAGAAATTGGAAGCCAGAATTACATAAACTAACCTGTAGCTCTTTTATAATAATGAGTCAATTGCAGCACAATCTTTAGTTATATCTTTTCTCAGGACCATGTTTGAAAACTATTTTGAGGAATGAATTTAATAATTTATCGAGTGGTGTTAGTTACTGGTTAACAACTTTCCAAGAGACTTGCTGAGGGTGGCTGTTAAGATAAGACAGGCCGGTAGGTCTTTTCTCAAGCTTCTCTAGCTCCATGGGAGTGCCCTAGGATGCTTAGTAGACAGGAAGGTCTTGTCCAGTGCCAGTTTTATTGTTTGCTTGTGCTTTAGTTTTTCAAGACAGGGTTTTTCTGTGTAGCTTTGGAGCCTATCCTGGAACTCCATCTGTAGACCAGGCTAGCCTTGAACTCACAGAGATCCACGCCTCTGCCTCCTGAATGCTGGGTTTAAAGGCATGCGACACCAGTGCCCGGCACTCTTTCCTTTTAATTGTGAATTTCATTTTTTTTTTGTTTGTTTTTTTTTGTTTTGTTTTGTTTTTTGAGACAGGTTTTCTCTGTGTAGCTTTGGAGCCTATCCTGGCACTCACCCTGGAGACCAGGCTGGCCTCGAACTCACAGAGATCCGCCTGCCTCTGCCTCCCGAGTGCTGGGATTAAAGGCGTGCACCACCAACGCCCGACGTGAATTTCATTTTTGTGTCCTTTATGAAAAAAAAGGTTCTTGGGGTTGGAGAGATGGCTCAGAGGTTAAGAGCAGTGGCTGCTCTTTCAGAGGTCCTATGTTTAATTACCAGCAATCACATGGTTGCTCACAATTATAATGAGATCTTGTGCCCTCTTCTGGTGTGCAGGCATACATGGGGGTAGAATACTATACATAATAAATCTTTAAAAAAAAAACAAAGGTTCTTAGTTGAATGAATGGATGTTGGCTAAGAGAATAACATGGGCGTAAAGGAACTGAGTGAATGAAGAAGGCCTCTCAGTTATTTTGCTAGGTAGGAGATGCAGGATGTGGTGCTGGGTAGATTGCTATGTAAAGGAGTCTAGGGGAACTTGGAGGAGGCTGGGAATTTGATGATAACAAATGTTGCCTATAGGCTCTTTCCAGAAAACTTTCACAACTTCCCAAGGCCAGTCCAAAGTTCTCTTTTGGTTTGGGAAATATATTTAATGCTAAAGGACCCTGTTACAATTTGATTTTGTGAATTTTTTGTTTTTATTTCTCTCTCTCTGTCTCTCTCTCTCTTCCTCTCTCTGTCTCTCTCTGTCTCTCTCTCTCTCTCTCTCTCTCTGTGTGTGTGTGTGTGTGTGTGTGCGCGCGCGAGCACGCGCGTGTTTTAGACAGTTTCTCTGTGTAGTCCTGGCTGTCCTGGAACTTGCTTTGTAGACCAGGTTGGCCTTGAACTCACTTCTCATCTGCCTCTGTACTGGGATTAAAGCCCCAAGCCACTCCCTGCAATTTTGTGAATTCTTAGCTCTGGATATTAAAAAAAAAGGGGGGGGAGACTTAAAATGTTAGTAGCCAAAAATGTTTTTATTCCTAATGTGGCAAAAATCTGAGCCAAACCAGAAAGCATCGAGGCCAGTTATTCAGCCTAGTCTGTGCAGGGGAGGAAGACCATAATTCAGCCGGCCTGTTAGCTCTCAGGGGCTAGGTTAAAGGCATGTTAGTCTTTTAGTGCTGCAAGAGGAGTCCTGTGGAAATGCTTAGTAGAAGGAGCTGGGCTGGACTGGTGGCTCACCAGTTAGAGCTTTTTCTATTGTTCCAGAGGGTCAGGGTTTAAGTTACAACTTAAAACTGTAACTACAGCTCCCGGGATCCAGCAGATACATACATACATATGATCATGTGTACATGTGTGTAGATAGACAGAACAGACACACACTCTATAAATAAGAAATAAAAAAAAAATTTTTAAAAATAAAATGGAAGTCAGCACTTGGGAGGCAGGAACAGGTGGATCTCTGTGAGTTCAAGGCCAGTCTGGTCTAAACCGCAAGTTCCAGGATAGCCAGAGAGCTACACAAAG